TGATCGCGTCTTAACGTGATTGGACTGTCTGGTTGTGTGTCTGTACAACAGATTGACACTTCATTTAAGGGAGCGAGAGTATTACCTGAAAAGCAAAGTGAATCACATCAAAGTTAAAAAAATTAATTCAAATTTCGGGCAAAACCAACGCTACTACCACCATCACCACAACCAGCAACATCACCATCACCGTCATCACCACTACTACCAGCACCACCAGCAGCAACAGCAGCAGGAAGAACAAAAACAACAACAACGGCAACAACATTTTTTTTTTTTGAACGTGCATCAATGATAATATAGGATGTAACGTTCGCTGGTAAAAAGTATTCAGGACTTTTTACCAGAGAATGCTATATCCTATATTATTCTGATCAATCCTGGTAACGGATCCGCGATATTTTTTGCATCAATGAGGTGGTACTGGGATTGAAATGGATATCCATTTTTCCTTATAACTTATTAGGCCCGTCATAACCTTATAACCGTTGTGTTGTGGTACAAGCTGGTCTGCGTGAAAATATAAACCATCTATACTGGATAAACTAAGTGCAATAAATCCCTACTGGCATTGGTTTAGCTCGTTGCTAATTTTACGCCCTTCCATTTCAACTGGTGTCAAGGCAAATCTAAGGTTTACCTACCAGGATTCTTGCATGCATCAACCTTCGGACGTTCAGGATAGAAGTATTTGCACCAACATTCACAGGAATGAGGCGACGTTTGGATGCAGCGTGAAAAGTTAGGACAGGCTGATAATGTAGAAAAGCATTATGTTAAATCAGTTAGCAGCATATTTTAAATTCATGTTTTAGAAGTGATCATCGCCTAACGTTTCTTCACAATAAGTAATGCATTGCACGGGAGACCGGTAATGAGAATAGAGGGAATCATCAATGGGCGATAGTTGTCGCAATGTAATTCACGCGTGAAAGTGAAAAATCATCTCCAGAGTAAACTGGGGTGCTGAAAATCAACCCAGTTAGTTCTTTCTCAGCATTAGGAAACGGCGAACCGTAGGAGGTAAAAAGAGAATGTTTGACGTCGCTGGGACTCGAGACCACGACGACTGAGGTACTAGATCAGACAGGGGCACCTCGTTACAAGTTGTACCATATTGTCTATGTGAACAGTGCGAGACAAATCAGTGAGCTAACACTAACTCTACTTAAAATATGAGAGGTCTTCGATTGGACAAAGTATGGTCCATGCTAATTCATTCATGAATTCTTCAGTGATGGTCCATGCTAATTCATTGGGAATTTCACAGGGATAGCTAACTGCTAATTAAAATAAGGAGCTACATATTTAATACTCGATTGGTATTTGGAAAATTATGAAATATTATGAGGCGGTATTGTTGCAAAATAGCACGTGCAGGTCCTGCTATTATTTGTTTTTATAATGTAGATAGGACCCTGCGCAGCTGTCATTGGTCGAAAACCCATGCTTTATCAGAGTATAAAACATGGAAAAAGCGTGGTTTATTGTTTTTCGCCACATTACTTCTATATCACAAAGCAAATGAAGAAGCCTAAGCCGTGTATTACGTTGTGATAAAACACTCCGGACATTTTAGAACACTCGAGAAATGTAGAAAGCACTCGCCTGCGRCTCGTGTTTTCTACATTTCCCTCGTGTTCTCAAACGCCCGTCGTGTTTTATCACAGAGTAATACACGACTTAATCTTCTTTATTTGTTAAATAATAGAAACCGAGAAATTTTCGGTAACGCACATGAGACCTTTATTTCGTTACGGTTGAAAAAACAGACCGCACAGGCGTCTGCATTCGTAACAATCTTTCTACGTCAATGAAAAAAAAAAGTGATTGAGAGTTTTTTGTGAAAACAGTCCAAATCATTCAAGGCAAACACCAAGAAATAGTTCGATGAAAGTAATTTTCATATCACGGTTTTTTCAGTCACTGCAGCGGTGAAGCGAAACAACAAATTAAAATAAGGTATGGGTAAGATTCTTCCATTGTGAAGTTGCTGCTTTGTTGAAAAACACCAGCACTAGCTCCGTAATTTATCGTCACCTATTTATCGTCAGCTTTGAAAGTGATTAACTACTCTTTGGCAGGGAGTCGCTGTATGATTGTGCTGATTGGGTAAACTGGAAAGAACTGGACGGGAATTCTGAACCTGTTGGCAGACAGGAGAGTTGATGATGGATGAAACCTGTCGCTGTTCTGCTTCGTCACCTTCCTTGTAGTCTGCCAGTGAACGCTCGCTTGTGTGGCCTGTTACACCGATGATAGCACTTGTTGGCTGATTCGAGGCCTTCAGCTTCTTCACAAGCGCTTTTCTTACCGAATGGTTGATTAACTTTCTTCTATCAGCATCCAATTCCGCTTCCAAGGCCATATTTTTCATGAAGGAGTTGATCTAATGGACACCCATCCTCTGTTTCTTGTATCACACATCGGATTTCGGATTTTCAATAATGGCGAGATGAAACGGGCCACTGTTTCTTCTTCTTTTTCTTCTTCTTCTCCTTCTCCTTCTCCTCCTCCTTCTCCTCCTCCTTCTCCTTCTCCTTCTCCTTCTCCTCCTCCTTCTCCTTCTCCTTCTCCTCCTCCTTCTCCTTCTCCTCCTCCTCCTCCTTCTCCTTCTCCTTCTCCTTCTCCTTCTCCTTCTCCTTCTCCTTCTCCTTCTCCTTCTCCTTCTCCTTCTCCTTCTCCTGCTCCTTCTCCTTCTCCTTCTTCTCCTCCTCCTCCTCCTTCTCCTTCTCCTTCTCCTTCTTCTTCTCCTTCTCCTTCTCCTCCTCCTCCTTCTCCTTCTCCTTCTCCTTCTCCTCCTCCTTCTCCTCCTCCTTCTCCTCCTCCTCCTTCTCCTCCTCCTCCTTCTCCTCCTCCTCCTCCTTCTCCTTCTCCTTCTCCTTCTCCTCCTCCTCCTTCTCCTTCTCCTTCTCCTTCTTCTTCTTCTTCTTCTTCTTCTTCTTCTTCTTCTTCTTCTTCTTC